TAATGGAATACAATTATTTGAAAACATCTCCCTTTGAAATTTGTGCCCCCAGGGCATTTACTTCCAAAGTCTGAAATTTTTTGGACGTAGCATCCCAATATGCAGTTATGTACCAAGGTTTATCTTTCCACACTAGCCAGGACAAAAAAATAATTACTTGAAAACGTCGGCCCCCAAAAATATCCCCCCAGGGCATAGATCCGTCATTTTAAATTTTCCTGAACTCCTCGTCTTTGCAGGCCCGTCCATGCCAGGTTCACGCTTTCCATGTCTCTCCGTTTACTCAAGCAAAAATAGTGGAATGAGTAACGGGACAAGGAAGGCAAAAAAAAGCCAAAGGAATTGGTGGAAATTGAACCCTGACCCTCTGAGTGCCACTCAAATATGCAACAACTACACCACTGAACCCAGGACATCCAGTTGATGTTCTGAATGCCATCCTCATCTGTCACAAAATATATTGAAGAAAAACGTTTCCCCCCAAACTTTGTATCCCCAGGGCATGTAACTACAAAGTCGGATTTTTTTCTGAACTCTGCATCGCAAAAGGTGCATGTGTACCAAGTTTCAGATTTTTAACCTTTCTTAAGTCGGATTTTTTTCTGAACTCTGCATCGCAAAAGGTGCATGTGTACCAAGTTTCACATTTTTAACCTTTCTAGAAAATGGTTAGAATTAGCGTCAGTCAGTCACGATCGTCTATATATATTAGATATATATAGATGATCGTTTCTAGACCATTTTTCAGCACCCCTTCCATTGTTAAACACTCGGCCGACTCATGTACTGCTTCCTTTTATGTTATTTATCATATTAGATCACCGTTCAGTGTTGACCTTAACCCTTTCAGACCTGGCGTCCATTCCAATGGACAGTGCATTTTCATTGCGACTAGGGTAATTTCTTGGGATTCTCGTGACTTTACCCCCAAATATTACACTACAATTGCCACAACTTTGCATGCTCAATTCCATTGGAGGCCTTATCAGTTGTGTAATCTTCATTTATCTAATAAAGTGCATAATAAATTACATATAGTATATTTACATTTTATACAAAATATAAAAACGATACATGAAGCATAGCAATTTAAATTACAGCAGCAAAAGAGCTCAAAATGCAAAAAAATTTATTCCGATAATTGACTTAATTCAGTCTTTCACCCATTCTGGAGCTGGATATGAACTTGTACTTCAAGCTTTAACTTGTAAGGTTGCGCCATCTTTGTTAACACGCCATGCCTACTATGTCTACTATGAGTAGCTACAGTGAGAAACACTTGTCCTGCTTCCTTCCAAATGCGTCTGGCTCCAGCCGGAGCCAGACGCTCTAATAAAATGCTATGTCATTGCACATTAGAAATGCTCTTCCATCCAATCAAAGAATACTAGTTTTCGTGAAAGTGTCTTTAAAGTCTCTTTCCTTGAAGGAACTGCTTATTTGTCTGCAGAAGTAAGCAATATACTTGCATAATGAAAAGTTACAATTTTAACCTGATTTTCGAACTCTCCTTGCGTAATAAACAAGTGTCGGGAGAGGTTTTATATACTTATTTAAAATTAGATGTCAGATTTTATCGGGAATAGTTTGGAGAAAGGAGCAAGTTTAACCTAGGACGAAAACTGAACGAAATTGTCACCAATAACTCGGAGTATGCTTTTACTAATGCGATGTTTCCAAGAGGAAATAGTTATAGGGAAAGAGCATATTCGAGTAGACTATTGTCAGATATGGTGTCACGACCAAAGGCCACAACAACCATGGCCATAAAGCCACGTATCGAAAACAATAATGATGAAGTAATGTGAAAACCAATTTTCAATGGCTTTCCCTTCCTTTTACACCCCCACCCTTCCGCCTCTCTAAGGGACTTACTAACGTTAGGCCTAGGCCTAACCAACAGACCACCTTCAGGTCACGCGAAGGCCTACCTTTTTCTATTCAAAAGAAACTCAATTCTCGACTTACAGCGCGAATTATGCTTATTAGTGTGAATAGTGGCTTCATGACATGTGGTTAACGACGTGTAACGTTAGACCGATTGGAGGCCTGTTTCGCGTTTCATGAACCATTTCAGTGGGACGTGGAACGTTACGCCTATCTGGAGTTCCTCGAACCTTCTCGAATAGGGCCGAGGAGAGAATGCCTTCAAGAAGCATGGGATGCATGGCAACGCGCCATCCTGTTAATTCAAGGATGTCTGGATAAGATATCCCTCGATATCCCTCCACATCGATCAATAACTGCTAACTACTGCTTCATTCTCAGCTCAACTCATAAACTCAGCACTAAAATGTCTCATAAATAAAAAAAAAAACAGAAGATCCAGACGCCAATACGAAGGATGAAACTGTCTTGAATCTGCCATAATTTCGGCACGGTGTCCGGCAAGACTGGGGACGTACAAGAGCTAGCACGCTAAGCCTAAATGAACGGCAGCTAATATTTTTTTAATGACGAAATGGAGCATCGTAAACAAAAAGCCACTTTTCGTCATCTACGAGTCAATACAGTCGACGCTTCGTATAACGAACCTCTATATAACGAATTTTCTTCATGACGAATTTTTTTCCCGGTTCCCGGCCGTTTTCCCATTCACACGCATGTTGAAAAGTTTCTGTATAACGAATTGTACTGCCTTACGAAGTCGTTTTTTCATCCGAAGGAACAAAACTGTTACCGTTAACTGTTAACTGTTGTCCGTATTACGAAGTTAAAATGAAGTTACTACTTCCTTCCGTACATTCCTCGAAAATCTCATCTCATAGCTAAGTTTAGCATGTCCTACCAACTTGTTGGTGCGGCCGTGGTAAGGGAACGAGGTCAATCAGTATTAATTTGTTCAGGATACCAAGGATCAGGGTCAGGTCTAGTCTAGAATTCCTCCGTCAAGCAATCGAAGCCTTCGACTAATTCTGGTAATTTTGCGGTGTGGGCGAGGCCGCCGAATGGGCGTGTTCGCCGTGTAAGTATGCGGGCGCTACTATTTACGGACTGACTCCAAATAGATAAGTACCGGTGAGATTCGGAAGGACTAGCTAGGACTAGGATGTTCATCAACAATAACAAGGGATATATTGAATGTATACAACTCACTCATACAGTCTACAGGCACCAGGCAGGAGGGAAGAAGATAAGTCTAGGGCAACGAGAATAATTGCAGAATTACAGGTCACTATAAAGGTACAATCCGGACATACCCTACACACACAGTTGTACAAAAGTCACACGATCACACTCTCCGTGTCTCTGGTCCACCATCTAGTCTCTCCTCCACCCCCATGTCTCGGTCCGGGGGAGGTCTCTTGGAGGTGGGAGGTGTCTGGGAGGGGGTGGCTCCTCCTCCACTCCTTGGTGAGGTCCGCCGCGAAGCCCACAGCGGTCAGGCCGTATGTTGAGCTTNAGGTCTCTTGGAGGTGGGAGGTGTCTGGGAGGGGGTGGCTCCTCCTCCACTCCTTGGTGAGGTCCGCCGCGAAGCCCACAGCGGTCAGGCCGTATGTTGAGCTTGAAACGTTTAAACATCGAATGCTCTGCTGACCATTGCTCAAAGAATGCTCCCGGAAAGCGCGCGGCTAACGATCAGGGAGTTTGTTTCGTTTAAATAGAGAGCGTTGCTGACTCGTCCGATTTTTATTACACGTAATTTAGATACCCATTTAGGTACATATATAACCCTTGAGAGCTGATTTTCTGCATATTTCATGCGCTTAGACCTTCGCATTCATTTTATGAGTGGACAATGATTTGCTTTTCAACACTAAGTGGCATTTTGTCCCCCAGGGGGTGGCTAGCAAAGGGGGGGGGGGGGGGAAGAAAAAAAAACCAATGAAATTCACATCCTCCAAAAACAAGATTCAGTGTTCTCCACAACCCCAGGGAGATGGAGCTTCAAGTTTGCTGGAGCGATTCCATGGTGAGAGAAGATACATGACAAATTACGTCCCTGTTGATGCTTTCAAAGAGGAATTCGAGGAGGTTAAAATTTCCTGCGGGAAGGGGTTGAGGAAAGGTAACAGGCGCTACCGAACCTCTTGATTCTTCATTCGTTTGGTTTCACTGCTTCATCCCAAGCCCCCCCCCCATCACCTCAGACTAAACCTACAGAGCATGACTTCACCGCTGGTGTGCTCAGATTTTCATTATATTTCCGACCTCAAAGACACAAGCTACTCTCTTTAAATAGATTAAATGCAGTAAATTCAATCAATAGCTTGATTACAGTATTTTCATTTTGCTTATTGCAGTTCAAATTCATCATATTCATTATGGGCAATGCTCCTGCTGTTGAGATTGGCCTGGGAACTATCAACTCTTGCGCTTGAGTATTCAGAGGACAGCTTCTTAAAATTGATATTAAGACTGATTTGAATGATGATCACCCTTGGCCTAAGTGATTTCTGCCAACGATTCTTATTTAGTCATACGACAATGATTCTAGTTCAACCAATCGGTCATTCAGTCGTTCCATGTTCATCATTTCGTTCACTTGTTGTCCATATTGCAGTTCAAATTCAAATTCACTGCATCCACAATGTCCAAGGCTCCTGCTATTGGTATCGATCTGGGAACTACCTACTCCTGTGTTGGAGTATTCCAGCATGGGAAAGTGGAAATCATCGTTAATGATCAAGGAAACAGAACGACACGCTCCTATGTTGCTTTCACGGATACAGAGCGTCTGATTGGAGATGCGGCGATGCATCGAGTTGCCATAAATCCTGCCAACACTGTCTTCGGTCAGTTCACGGAAGGACTCATCCCCCTTGATTATATGTTCAGACTGAGCCTGCAGTGATATATGATTTCCTTTCAGACGCCAAGAGGCTCATTGGACGAAGATTTGATGATCCTTCGGTTCAGAGTGACATGAAGCATTGGCCCTTCGATGTCGTCAGCGATGGTGGGAAGCCCAAGATTCAGGTAGGTTTAAGTTTTACACCAATGACTGCGCAGGCTTATTTGGGAGAAATTGAAATCCATGGATGGGACTTACTGTTGAATATGCATCTAGGTTGAATACAAAGGGGAGAGGAAAACTTTTTCTCCGGAGGAGATAAGTTCCATGGTGCTGACCAATATGAAGGAAACCGCCAAGGAATATCTGGGGAAAGATGTCACAGATGCTGTCGTGACAGTGCCTGCTTATTTCAATGACTCGCAGCGCCAAGCTACGAAGGACGCAGGGATGATTGCAAGCTTGAATGTCCTCCGTATCATCAACGAACCTACTGCAGCTGCCATTGCATATGGTCTGGACAAGAAAGTTGGAGGAGAGCGAAATGTTCTCATCTTTGATCTTGGAGGTGGCACATTTGATGTCTCTATCCTGACCATTGAGGATTGGCTCTTTGAGGTGAAATCTACAGCTGGTGATACTCGTTTGGGAGGTGAAGACTTTGATAACCGAATGGTCAATCACTTTGTCCAGGTGAGTATTGGCTTGTGATCTGAATGTACTTCTCTGTTGATGGATATTCTTTATCTAAATTCAGGAAAAGTAGGTAAAATGAGACCTGTGGTAGGGCATGGAGATTTCCTAGATATTTCACAATTCATACATCTAATCAAACCACATTGATGATTGCATCATCCATGTGCACAGAATATCATGGCTTGTTTGTCTTATTTTACAGGAGGGGCTGGGTAAAATTAGCTGCCACTATAAGACTACTCTATGACTGTGTTGATATGTCACTCTTTTCCTATGCATACAACAGCCATATGTGCACACAAAACACCATCATGTGAACATAGCTTTTGTGCCCCATCAAGAGCAATTAATTTTCTAAAACCAAAGTTAGACTTAATGACTGGAAGGAAAAGGTTCCAAGTAAACAATACTGATGGAGATTAGGTCTTCTGGTCAGCATGTTTTTTGAACAAGTTTTTTTTTTATTTGATGATAAAATTGAGGTATCTGGGACAAAAGGAAGAAGAATCTTAACTCATTCTCTTTGTAAATTTAAGAAAATATGCTCCCTGGTTTCACTGTCTTACGGTATCCAATCCTAGTCAATTGCTGAAAAACTAAAACAATTGCAAAAGTTAACTCCTTTTCCTTTACTACAAACGATATGTTCTAAGATCACGTCAGAGACAACACATAATGAAATGACATTTTTATTGTTTTCCAAAATTTTTTCAGGAAAAGAGTGCAACATGTAGCCAGAACTAATACACAACATAACAACCATCTATGGCAAAGGCCAATTAAAAAAAAAACCATTGAACTAAGCATACAAGTACAGGTATTTTTTTAAATAAATGAATACTCGTGCAGTCATTTCCAAGTATATTTTTGTACTACCTTTTAGCTGGATACACTTAAAGCAGGTTTTAAATAGTCACATCATACTTATTGTTTCATTTTAATGAAACCCTGATCGTATGTCCTGTTTTTTCAGGAGTTCAAGCGGAAGTTCAAGAAAGACATAAGGGACAACAAGCGAGCATTGCGTCATCTGCGCACTGCTTGTGAGCGTGCAAAGCGCACTTTGTCTTTATCCACTCAGGCTTCAATTGAAATTGATTCCTTGTACGAGGGCACTGATTTCTACACTTCTGTCACCCGAGCCCGTTTCGAGGAACTCAATGCTGATCTCTTCCGCTCCACCTTGGACCCAGTAGAAAAGGTAGTGGTGGGATAGTTTTGAATGACAGTAATAATTACACAAACTGTACTCATAGTAAACATTGTTGCAGTCTCTCCGAGATGCCAAGATGGACAAGGCTTCTATCCATGAGATCGTCCTTGTTGGTGGCTCCACTCGCATTCCAAATATCCAGAAGCTGTTGGTGGATTTCTTCAATGGCAAGGAAGTGAACAAGAGCATCAATCCTGATGAAGCTGTTGCTTATGGAGCTGCTGTTCAAGTGAGTACAAGGCATTCCTGGGGTCTCAATGCTTTGTGGTCATTGGTGTAATGATATGAAAGCTCTTGGCTGGGTACTAGTTCCACTTGTACTAACTGCCTCTGAGCAGTTGTGAAGAGAATACAGCCTGCACCTTTCAAGTTCATGTTATCCCGCTTTTCATTGATGGGGATTTGGTTTCTTTGTAGGCCGCCATCTTGCACGGAGACAAGAGTGAAGCAGTGCAGGACCTGCTGTTGCTTGATGTGGCTCCTTTGTCCCTTGGAATTGAGACAGCTGGAGGTGTGATGACCCCTCTCATCAAGCGCAACACCACCATTCCTACTAAGCAGACGCAGACCTTCACGACTTATTCTGATAACCAGCCTGGAGTGCTCATTCAAGTATATGAGGGAGAGAGAGCCATGACCAAAGACAACGTGAGTCCTAATTTAAATGAAATATATGTATTTTACATCTAATTCGTTATTGTGGACATGCAAGATATAAATGATGAAAATGACTGTGGTTGTTCGCAGTCTCCACCTGAGTGGCTTGACCTAGCTTCATGACGGTTGTAACCTTCCTTGGATGACTGAATAAGATCATAAATATGAAAGGATATTTTCCCATTCTTTGGAAAACATTGGTTGAATTGAGGTCTTTCTTTTTCTAGAACCTTTTGGGGAAATTTGAGCTGTCAGGTATCCCACCTGCTCCAAGAGGAGTCCCTCAGATTGAAGTGACCTTTGACATCGACGCCAATGGGATCCTGAATGTGCATGCTGCAGACAAGTCTACTGGCCGTGAGAACAAGATTACCATCACCAATGACAAAGGTTGGTGCTACTTAACTTCTGAATGCATGCTGGGATCAACTTAGTTTCATCTGAAGTGGTGAAGGCGATGAAAATATGTGGTGTGTTCATTGCTTTCACTTGAGGAACTGAGCTTGTTCTCCTCATGAAGACTTTAATTCTCATTTCATGGCTAATATTCCATTAATTGCATTGAGTTTATATGGCTTTGTTTCTTAATTGTAAAAGGTTGGTTGTTTTCTAATTTTTGTTGAGTTTTATTTGTTGCATGCCCCTTAACATTTGTGCAAGGAGTTGTGTATTTATTAGCATCCTGATGACAGGGCGTTTGAGCAAAGAGGAGATTGAGAGGATGGTTCAGGAAGCAGAGAAATTTAAAGACGAGGATGATGCACAGAAGGAACGAGTGACAGCTAAGAACTCGCTCGAGTCCTACGTTTTCAACATGAAGGGTACCATGGAGGATGACAAGTTCAAGGATAAAATCCCTGAAGAGGACAAGAAGACCATTTTGGACAAATGCAATAAAACAGAAAAATGGCTAGATGCAAATCAGGTACTTTCATTATTTGTTGGACAATGTAATTTGAGATGCTTTGATGTTTTCTGATTCATTTTTTCCCTCTCTCTCTCTCTCTCGCTTTCTCTCTCTAGCTGGCAGAGAAGGAAGAATTGGAGCACAAGCAAAAGGAACTGGAGAATTTGTGTAACCCCATTATTACAAAGCTGTACCAGGGTGCGGCAGGTGCTGCTGGTGGCATGCCCCATGCCTCCTGGTGGATTCCAGTGTAGTATCTCTTAGTATAATAACATGTTTTTCAAATCACATATAAACAAGTAAACACCTTTTCAAAAAACGAAAAGACTTTTGCATCAACCCAATATAAAGTTCTGTCAACAATGTTCCCATCTCCATCCACGGTGACACCCACCGCGCGAGAGAAACCGAAGCCTTCCTGGAAATCACTGGAATGTAATTAATCTGGACTTAATGACTTAAATTCGTCATTTGTGGGTACACTTGACCCTTGACTATGCCCTCTGCTCGATGACCCTGAGTACTCGATACCAATATGAAACATGTGGTCATTCCCTATGAAGAGGTTTCTCTTCCATGGTGCATCTTTCTTCCGAGATCCTTAATTTGAGTCCACTCTACAACTTTAATTACCGTGTTATTCCTGGGTACACCTACCGAATCCATCCATTTGTGCTAAAAGGAACGAATCCTCTTTTTTTTAATTGAATGACATAATACGGATATGCGACTAGCTCCACGTCATCACAACATAAAAGGTATTTTCATGGTATTTTCCCGGGATTTTGTAACTGAAGACACACTTTCCTTTCCCCATTTTCGCTTCTCGCCGGTAACATCGGTATACCGCAGCATCGAACCACGGTTTACTTACCAAGAAATGTAACGCATACCGCAACGCCCCAGTTGAGAGTCTGTCATTTTGAGAAATGATGGGGTGGCACAAGTCTAAATTCCCTGGGACATCTGGGTGAGTATGTTGAGAGAATGTGGAATTGCAGAGGGAAAAAGCCCTTAGAAATTTTTCTCTTCGGTAGGGGAAACTATTGACTGGTTAGTGCAACCAGCAAAAGGTCAGTGTCACAGTGAGAGCACAATAATAAAATTTCAGTTACTTTTGTAAAATGGCAATAAGGCTGGAAGTAAACAGATGACAATTTTTTTTTTACCTTTAGAAGATTTGTGGAATCGTATACAAAATGAAAATTTGTTCTGTTGTCCCATAAGCACCAACTAACTTAAAAGTGCGGGGCCTACTTTATGCCTCGCCAGGTATAATATACATTCTGTTGCCAAAAGCGAAGGCCCACCTATGAATATACCTTGCCATTTACCCAGTCTAAGCATTTTTTGAACACGATCGAGTCATCATTGTAACTCGATTATTATAACGCGATCTAAGTCTAATTATTGCTCGCACTATCTGAAAACTCCGTCATGACTTAGATTATTACTCACGTCACGCTACCATAGGTCTGCGTCGTCTGTCGCCAATTTTCCCCCTCAAAGTCTTGAAGAATGTGACCTTTTAGGTCATTGATCTTAGGTCCAAATGCACGAACGAAGACGAAGGGGCTTTTAGGCTGAATAACTCCTTTTTTTCCCCATCGGGATCCACGTATTCGTCACCCTTCTCGTGCTGATTTGTTTGCAACAAAATATCTTAGAGACAAATGCTCTCATCGGCACGACAAAGGTTAAAGAACCGTTAACTAAAGAAGGTTTCAGCATTTGGGGCTTTTTCTTTAAATCCTCTTCTGATCGACAGAAGCCACATTTCAATATTTTCCCTACAATACGAATTCAGATGGCTATGTTTACTTTCCCAGTTTCGAACGAAGCTTGTGTACGCTCGTCACCCCATATTCTTATGAGCGATGGTGTTTTATCATTCGAGAAAAACGCCTTATACAAGGCTTAGGACCACCACAACTCTCTTCCAGTTCCAATTCTAGTTCAGAAAAAAGAGACGACGTCCTGCGGGAAACTGCTTCGCCAAGTCTGAAAGTAGTCGAGGCGGTAAAGGTAGATGTTGCAGATCTCAATTACGATTTCGGTCTAAGTATGAATCGGTTGGGGGTTCCGCAGGACTACAGAGTTATGATGATCGACTTATCAGCCATGTGGGTTTATTCATTTCATTGTGATTTTCTATCACGATCGAAAGGGATACTTAGACTAGGTAATCGCCTGACTTTTCAATTTGATGCGGGGCTCCTTTTGCCACGAGTGAGAACCTGACCCCGTTCCGGTCGGGAATTGCTACCACAGGACCCATGGGTCCCCGCGGTGCCATGGCAATGTGCATCGTGTTAAGGGGAAGGGCAAGAACTGTTAGTCGTTAGATCGACCATTACTGCCAATTGCAACCCATGAACCGAATGCCCTAAACCCCTTAATCATGTAATTTTTTTCTGCTAATTCTTTTACAACTGTTTTTTTTCCCCCTCAGATGAATCTGCTTGTGTCCGGCGTAATGATACGTTGTGGAGACGAATTGAGTCGATGAATGACAGTAAGAGCGGAAGAGTTCTTTCCAGTCCCAGCAGCTTCGGATACAGTCTGCGGCTAGCCCATTAAGCCAGTCAAGGCGTCTAGAGGAAGTCGAGCAGACTGGGTTAAGTCAGCCAAAAGAGGGAGAGCGCCTTGCTGGGGCAAGTCCTTTTATACCCCGCTGCAAGGGGGTTGGGGCAAGGAGGGGGAGAAAGTGAGGGGCGTGAGCCCTGACCTGGGTTGAGTGCATGACCTTATCACGCAGTCACAGTGATGTAAGTCGGGTGCAAAGAGGGAGTCTCATGACACTGACTGTCTTGGTGGAATGACTGAAGATTCCTCAATGTCCTTCCAGCGCCAAATTCGGAGTGATGTCCAGCCATTCCTTACAACAATAGCATGATGAGGACTCTGGAGTCTTCTTTTGTTGGGGGGATGTGCGAGGTTACTTTGAATACCAGAGTAACCATACTTTTCTTATTTGCTACGGAATTATTCAAGACACGTGTGGTAATTTAATTTTCACTCCAGGTCGATCAGGGGCTGGGCCGCATTTACGAATTATGCATTTATTTACTCTCGCATTGCGATTTGGCTACTAAGATCAATCTAGAAATGGTGTCTCTGTTGAGGATGGGTGGGAGGGGGGAAATCAATGTTGCCACCAGCGTTGTACTGTAGAGTGGTTTTAATATCAAAATTTTTAATATTTGCAATTGGAAATGAAAAATAAGTATTTTGACACTTGCGAGGAGCTAAATTTTTGGTGAGCTTGGTCAGCTTCTTATGACGGAGTGACACGAGGTTCTCTTCATTCGGTTGTATAACACAACTCATTTGACTGTAACCAATCCTCTTTGGTATAATCACGCAACAGAATAAACCTACACGTTTGACTCAGGGAGTTAGAGGAGGTAATCAACTTATGGAAGTAGTGAAGTAACCTATGAAGTGTGCAGGAAGTTCTTGATTTCAATATAATCTGAGAGTACCCATCATAAGAACCCAGTATGATTGTGCAAATGCATTTATAAGCAATCAAATGTCATCGTAATAGAAGCACCAATTTGCAGCACGCACACGGTACCCGCTCTGAAGAACGGGATTCCCAGAATCGCCCATCTGCTCGAGCACTCTTCGTTTATGAATTTTATTCTGGCTCTCGAATAGTCAAGTGATAGATCAGCTGCCGTGTGAATTTGAAGAGCCTCCTGACCAAATGATTTTATCCGGCCCGCCACTCTGTCTAGCAAAAGGAAAAAAAATTAGTTCGTTTAATCATAGAAGGGACCAATTTTAATCAGTGAAGGAGCAAAATTTGCTCATTTCGTTTGTCATAATTAGGCCCTCTTTCCCTTCCTTTCCTCTCCTCAAAAAACCAAGTTTCGACTACAGTCTTTTCTAGAATGGCGCTTTCTTGGGATTCAGGTTATTAATTATCAAGATGTCGTGCTTCCCAAGATAGCCTGGCCCAACTGTCAAACCCATCAACTCTGGGATTTGTGGCTATCTGAGATTGGGAATCTAACAGTTCCGAATGAGTGAGATTTTTTAGAATTCGAGCCATTTGGATGCATTTTGTCACAGACAGTCCTATAGGCTACACCACAGTGCACTTTAACTCTATCGAAGACGAATGACGTGAAACATTTTTCAGAGCGATATACTTGGCAGTCTTTTTTGTGAGAATCTGGATGGTCGAAAAACGTGATGCGATTGAAGAAGCTATCGTTCAGGTTTTATTGCAAAGGAGGGAATTAGACCGACTAGCAATGATGTGCTATTGAGGTATTTTCTGAGATACTGGAGTGCGGCCCTTGCAGCTTCCATTCTGGATATCATCTGCTAAGAGCGGCAGGATGCCACATCTTGACGTCGTGTCATGCATATATATTTTTCAATGCAACGAACTTTTCAGAGTTTCACTGAATATTCCCGTGAAATTTTACAGATTTTATCTGAGAATTCCAGATAATTTTTTACAGTACATGGAAGTGAAAAAACCTTTGCAGTCCTTGAATTTAATGTTCACGGAACCCAATGCGGACATGCAATGCCTTGGGAAGTCTCATTTGAATCCTCTTTTCCATACAACCTGGCGATTGTGAAAGATTGCGTTATCTCCAGTCTGACATGAGTGAAAAACGACCTATTGAGGTTCCTCGCCACATCTTCTGCCATGTAGGAGAGTTATATCTTAATTTTTTTTGGACGGAAGGGTGCTCTTTCGACGACGATCAGGACGCAGCAGGCTATCTAATCTCTGTACGCTATAGTGTCTGAACCATCATATCCTTGATGGAATGATTTCCGGAGGAAGGGGCATTTTTCCTCCGCAAGTTTCAGCTGCAGCTGTGTTCAATGGGACCGCAGAATATGGTGTTCTTGTCCATAACTATTTTCGACGTGAAATGCTTATCATTTTGACTTGGCGGTGTTTGAGAATTTATTCTTGTCTGTTTTGGGTCTCACAACGTGACGTATTTTCGGCGAGTGTTTTTCGTATTTTCCAAATAATAGCAGATCTGTCTTTTTGCAAAAGGTCGGGCATCGGTTGGATTCTCCCCGTGTTTTCATGTTATTCCAGACTCGGCATAAAATCTCCTAGCACGTCGGGACGCTAAGGCAGTTCCGGGTGAAACTGTTTCTACAGTATGGTGATTCAGTTTGAGGCTGAATGTTTTTCTCAGATCAATTCCAAGATAATACAGTACATCCTCAGCTACAGCTATAGAATTTTCGATTTGGTCCCCAAGCTCAT